ACAGATATTTGGTGTATAGGGAACATAAGTGGAACTGCAATATATTTGGCAGCTAAAGCATTTGAAATATCTGGGTCCAACATATAGACTGCAAGTCTGCTTTCTATTCTCTTGCATTCAAACTTTTCGCATGTGAACTTAACTGGGTCCCAAGCATCTCCAGCAGCATTGAAATAATAGTTTACTTCAGTGTTGAGGTTTGAGAAACCAAAGTCTAAGTCAACTTTGTCTTTGCAAAAGTCACAGAACTTGGCTCCACCAGTTCCAGCTACAGTAATGCTGAATGGGTCTTGTGTTGGTGCAATGACTAAGTTATTTTTGCTTGGAGTAAGTTCGATAGAAATTTTTCCTGCCCAGTTTGGCAAGTATCTTAAAAACTGAAGATGAGGAAAAGATGACAAAGGAACTCTAAGTTTCAGTTTTACTTTAGTGGCAGCATTTCCATCTGAACCAGAAAGGTTAACATAAACTCCTGGAACGTTAGGGTCAAGTCTTCTTATTTTTCAATAGTTGCATACTGGTCTGTTTGTTCTCTAGCTTGTGGTTGTACTGAGTTTCTCAAAGCGAACCATTCATAGTTTGCCCATGTTACTGTTTGAACTAAGTCAGAGTTAGAATATATCTTATATCCCATGAAAACTTCTGGAGCATATTGGTATCCGACATAGAAAATTCCATTGCAACCTTTCTTGTCAGACAACTTGGCAGAAGGTTTTATTTCAATGTCTTGTTCCACGTATAAGAATGAGTTGTCAATAGAAATAATATGAAACCTGTCGCAAGCATATCTACTGTTGTTGAAGAACCTTCTCCAAACTCACCTACGTTTCCATAAGAAACAGCAGTTGTATATTCGTAAGTTCCAGGAACTATTTCTGACCTTCTAATGGCATTGTCGCATTCGTTATACCATTCGGAAACATTTCCGTTCATGGCATCCAAAACTGTTGGCGTTATATTCTGAGCGGCGTACATTTCATATGGGTAAAAATATAGAATAGTTGGATTTATATGTCATAATAGAACCCACTCGTACCAAGCTTTACTTTCTTCCTGACTGAGTTTTTAACTCTTCTTTTTCCTTCATTGCCACTACTTTCACTAGATGAAGTTACTTCTTCACTACTTTCACTTTGTTCTACTCTTCTCTTCTTCTTTGGTGTCGCTTTTGGTAACTTGCCCTCTGCTTCAAGTTGTTGCATCTTTGCCTCATGTTCACCTAGTATGTTGTAAATTTCCATGTCCTTTTTGCCTTTGGGCTCTGGTCGCCCATCTCAGGTAACCTATATCCTAGAAAGATTTTTGTCATAGTTTGTATTTGAGTCTTCGCGTATTGTTTCATGACTCTTTCCTGAGTTTCCGGTTCAAGCTCTTCAAACAGAGCTTGTCCATATGGAATAAGCTCGTTTCCAAATATATGTTTTTGTAGCCATTCTGGTTTTCTTTCCATGTTACCAATAATAATCTTTTGTGAATGGGAAAGCTTTTACCCAATGTTTCAGTCTTGCGTCATTTATTTCTGTAGTTGGTTTTATTTTGTCAAGGAACATGTTTTTCAATACTAACATTTCATTTGGTACTGTCCATTTGAGTTTCTTAAATATTCATCCATTCTCGGTTCATTGTCTGCAAAGTAAGTTTTTATGACATTTTGCAAACTTTCGTTTGCAAAGTCATGTACAATAGGTTCTTCTTCCTTCTCTCTCCCTAAACTTTCTTTCTAAACTCTTCACCAAATATACCATCTCTATGGTTCTGTGTAGTTCTTTGAGATAAATGTTCTAGAACGTCAGGTGTTATATTTCCTTCAGCCATGTTCATTTCATACTGGTCCAAAATATCTGCATCTTTCATATCTTTCAATGGCATTAAAGCCGCGCTGAAAATACCAGCTATATCTGGTTCACCATTCACTTCCATTGCGTCTACAACTTCTTGGAATTGAGGTTGTAAGTTTATGAACCACCTATCCGGATTAGCTTTATGACCCCATTCTTGTAGTTTCCATAGTCTGCAGAAACAAAAGTAGGTTTGTTTCCATATTGGTTAGATTCTGAATGAACTTTAAACAATGTTTCATTTCTATATGTTTTGTTTGAAATTTAACCTTTTATTTTCACCGGAGTTCAGCCAAAGATTGAACGTTATATGGTCGTAAGTAAAAAGGATTGTTGTATTTGCGTACATTTTCTTTCAGTACTTCCATTCTATGCTGAATATTTTCATCTGATGTTGGAGTCTTTTGTATGTCGGTGAACATTTTTCGATATTCTTCTACTCTGTCAGCCGAATTTTTTCTTAGACTCTTGAAAGATTCCATATTCACCTCATAGTCTTGTTGAGGGTCCAAGATTTTTCGGCTGTTCCAAATCTTCATCTAGTTCTGTGAAGTTAGTTTCCAAAGGAGGAACTTGTTCGTTTCCTTCAGGCTCTTCTAGCTGTTGTTGCTGAACTATTTCTTCCATGTCTGGTTGTATCTGAATTCTTCCTGTGGAGTTTCTTGTACCTCATCTGGTGGCATTTCATATATTCCGAGACCATTTTTAACAAGTTCCCTATCTAAGTCATCCGGACTCATAAACCTTTCTTCTTTCGTTCCGTCTCTATTTTTTACGCGTTTCATGAAGAGAGTTGAATTATCATTTAGCTCTGACATCAAATATCTCGGAGTAAATTCATCCATGTCATTTGGATGATATGCTATTAAATCATATCCCTTAGCGAGCTTGTATTTTCCAGGTTTGAAATTATATCCCATTTGGTGCTGAACCATAAAGCTAAATAGGTTCGGGTCAGTATTTCCTTCCTTGAACTTTCTAATAGCTTCTTTATATCTGTCACTAAAGTCAAGAGTATCTGGGTAACCATAGTCTTCCTTAAGCATTTTTAAGAATTCTTGGTTTCCTTGTTCTCTACTTCTTTTATGTCCTTGCTCTGTTTGTGGTTGTTGTTGTGCAGGGTTTTGAACTATTGGTTGCTGTGTTGGTTGTTGTTGTTGTGCTGGTTGTGGTTGTTGTTGTGCAGGGTTTTGAACTGTTGGTTGTTGTGCTGGATTTTGAACTGTTGGTTGTTGTGTTGGTTTTGGTGCATGCCTGTGTCTGTGTCCATGTGACGATGTAAATGTTTTAGGTAGTCCTGGTGCAGGTGCTTCTCTTGGAGGGTTTGGTGGTATATAAGTTCCACCAGCTGGCACATATGTTCCATCTGCAGCATAATGTCCTACCTGACTTTTCGTTTTTAAGAAAGCATTTACTAGGTCTGTTTTGGTCTGTTGTAACTCTTTTCTTGACTTTCCACAACAGTTGCTCTAACGGCGTCATAGGCACTTTGAACTGCCTGTCTCGTTGCTGCATCTGTTATTTTCGTCATATTTTGTGCTACTTCTCTTAACTCTTTGTCGAAACCTTCAGACTTCAGTTTCTTTCCAGATGAGAAGTCGTTCACTAGTTTCACCTTACTATGAAGAGCTTCGAAGGCGTTCTTAAAGTCAGCATTCATTAAAGCTTCATTTGAACTGTCTTCATCCGCTTGTATTTTTGTCCTTATTGACCCTATAAGTTGGGCTGCTTTAGCGTTGGCTTTGGGCATCTAACCAGTCATTGTTAGCTTTTATATATTCTGCGCTTTTCATTGCCTTTTGCATGGCTGCGTCGTTATTTTTACTTTCTTGTGCTAAGTTTTCATACTGTACGTTTGGTTTTGCAACTGTAAAAGTTTTTTCTCCTTTACATTTGCTTCAACTTCTTTTTTATACTCATCGCTATCCATATATGTCTTCAGGGCTTTTTGTTTTATCTCTTCATCTTTCAGTACTTTATATTGAGTAGTATGGTTTTTCAAATTTATAACATCTTGTTCCATTTTTGCTACTTCTGCTGCTTTTTCTGACACTTTTTTCGCATATTCCTCTGTACTTAGTTCTTTCAGTTGTTCTTCTTTCTTCTTTTTTCTCTACGTTTAACTCATTGAGTTTCTTTGTGTGTCTGTCATATTCTAGTTTCTTTTCGTTTTCACTTATTTGTTTCTGTATGTCTATGTTTGACTTTTTGACATCTGTTATTTGATTTTTGAGTGAACTCAAATTCATTTGACTTTGAGGGTTATAAGCTGTTCCGTCTGCAGCTCCACCATAGCCTGCCATTTTCGCTAAAAGTGCCGCTCTTAAACCTCCACTCTGTGCACCAATAACTCGGTTTAAAAGCATAGGGTTGCTTGACATTTGTTGCAACATAGTGGGGTCATTCATCATTTGTTGTTGCAACTGTTGTTGTGGTGTCAGTTTTACTATTGGATGTTTCAATGCTCCCTTCTCTTACGTATATTCTTACGTAGCTTACGTGGCATTTTAAGTGAAGTTAAAAAGCGGTTTTTGACAGATGTTTATATGACACTTTTTGTTCAGCACAAAAAACTACTCGGTCAAAGTGTTGTCAGTTTTGTAAAATAACCGTCCTATCTCATTCTATAAGGGGAAAAAGGCTTCTCAAAGTATACTTCCTTGGAACGCCTGTAACTTTTCCTGTAGCGACGATAGACCTTTACTTGTCCGGACAAAGTTATACTATTTTGAGTGCTCTACAAAAAGTGTCACCGGCTGGTCGGCTGGGGTTCGGTCCTCCTCTTGGGTCTTGGGAAAAATTTCTTATGGGCTAGAGGGCGCAACGCGCCTGGAAGCCCTCCGAATAAAAACTTCATTTATACTAAACATCTTCAGGGCTAGAGGGCGCAACGCGCCTGGAGGCCCCACTACCTTTTTTTTTTAAATAATATATAAAAATATAATTTTGAGATAATTATGTAAATAATATTTTAAAAATTTGAATTTGAGGTATAATTTTATAGTAAAATATATTATAAAGAGTATTTATATAAATATTGTAAAATAATATAAGTAATAAAAATTGAGACCCCCTCCCTGTTTTTGATGTTTTGTCACTTTTTCGGTAATTCTTATTGTTTCCATAAAAGTCTATGACAAATTGTCTGGTCTTCGCTACGAAATGGATTTGGAAACAGCACGTGCCAATTATCCAAACAGACTAGAGAGGTTAGAAGAAGAACGTCTTATGGACATGCCTTTCGATGTTAGTGAACCTCAAGTTGAAGGACACGACGGCTTTGCCAGATTCTACTGGAAACATGACGAACAATTGCATCCTTTGAGAAGGAAAAAAGGAAAAGGTGAAGACGCACATGCTCCCATGGAAAGAACAAGATATGCAAATGAGAAGTACCGTGAAGTTAGAAGTCAAATTACTTCTGGTCGAACCTTTACAGTAAACTTTGACGAAGGAAAGAACAAAGAAGGCTTCATGGGTGTACTTGCTGCAATTCAAGACGGAAATAGGAAAGGACACAATCTCAGATTGACCATAACAGATTTGGATGGTCACATTTACTATGCACATGGCAATGAACAAACAGCCGCAAAACTTCTTGACGCTTTCAAGACTACAAAGAGAGAACAAATGGTTGACTCCGACTCAGACATTTTGAATGCAATTGAAGGAATTGCAAGTGTCAAGTTCGAATGGTACCAACCTAACCCTCAAGCAGTCAGACAACATGCTGGATACTTCCCGTTCATAAATAAGTCTGACATTGACTTGACAAGGTATGGAATTTACAATTCAATTGAAACAATTGTCAATGAACCTTGTATTCTTACATGTCTCAGGAACTCTGGTCTTGTTACAGATGAGAAGATGAAGTATCTTGAGTCATGTGTGAAGACAAGGTACATTCTCAGAGGTCAATTGGCAAAAATTGCACCGTTGGCAAATGTCAATATCCGAGTCAACATACCTACAGCTAAAGGTTCTTCACATGACGACTATGTTGTTGACTTCAAATTGCCATGGTTGAAGATTGTAATTGTCCACAACCACTTCATGTTGAACGAAAGTCTTACAAACCCATTGTTCGGAAAAGGCAAGTGCAACATTGTCAGAGCTGTAAACATTCTTTTCGAGAAAGGTTTGTTGGAACCAATTCCAGATGACAAGCTGACAGAAACTTTGTACCAAAAGACGAAACAAACTTTTCATTGTTAGCAAGACCAAAAGTTGTTCCAGACAAAGTTCTAGTACAAAAGAAGTACACAGTTCCACAAGGGGTTGGTATGTTCGGATACCAACCTGAACCAGAAGAACTTCCAATGAGGTTGCAAGAACTTCAAGATGCTATAAACAAACTTCCATTGAGACATCCAATTGACGTCAAATTGTATTGGAGAGCATCTGAGTTAGGTCAGAAGGTTTTATATGAAACAGGTTGCTTCGACGATGTTTATGAGATAACAGGAGAAGTTTCTCAGAAGATAAGAGACTCACTTGAATTTCCACAAACTGGACCAATTGGTTGCGACAAGTTCGACTCAGATGAAAAGATATACTATGTCGACCTTAACGCTGCATACATGAGGTTTGTCCAATATATTCCGACTGGAATTCCAAACGAAGATGGTGAGTTCCCGGAAGGAACTATACAGTTGGAAAAGTCATACAACAACTGTATGATATTAGGAAAGCTTCAAACCCCAAACTTGCAATGACACTCAAATTGCTTATGAATTCGACATGGGGATATTCCATTAAGAAACCTCAAGAGATGAAGAGTAAACATTATGAGAAGGTCGACAACTTTGTTGAAAGGTTTTCTCCTTTTGTTTTGAAGTACGAATTCACTCAAGGTCAAAGTGGCTTAGTAACCACATTAAAACCTATTGTCGAACATTGGTCTTACCCTCAGTTCGCAAAGGCAGTCCTTGACAACTACAACAAATTCTTCTCCGAAGTCAAATCGAAAGTCAAGGTTTACTATGAGAACATTGACGCACTCATGACGAACGAAGAAGGATACAACAAACTCATTGAAATGGGAATGGTCGGTGAAAAGATGGGCTGTTTTAAGCTAGATAAGGTATTTTCCGAAGTTCATGTCCTCTCCAAGCGTAAGTACTGGGGTGTTAAAGAAGATGGTGAAATAGTTAAACTTGCATGAAGTAAAAACGTTTTTTAAAAAAGTGATATTTTTTTTATTTTATTTGAAATGTACGCTGAGTTTGTTGGAGAAGACCGTTGGGAAACTTGTTTGTTAGATGAGAAATATGAAATTCACTGTTGTGAGTCATTTGAAGTCAGAAACAAAAAGACAAAAAGAGTTTTAAGCGAATGGGAGCGAAATGACGGATATGCTATTATGAAGATGGGTGGAAAACACTATCTTAAACATGTTGTCATTGCAACTCATTTTATACTGAATCCTAACAATTTACCTTTTGTAGACCATATAAACCATATAAGAAACGACAATAGACTTGAAAACTTACGTTGGGTCACTCGTTCTGAAAACAATAAGAACAAAGGCAAATTTGGAGATATTGTATTCGAATTTGTCGACGAACTAGAAGATGAAACAATTGAAATTACAGACTATGGCAAGCATACGTTTGAGTTTTACTACTATAGCGAAGAACAAGACTCTTTCTACTTTTATACCGGCGTAAACTATAGGAAATTACAAGTATATTTTACTAAGGCGGGCTATGCTTATGTAAACACTAGAGATACAGATGGAAAATACGTTCAAATACTTCTTAACAAATTCAAGAAGCTATATGGCATACCATTTTAAAACAATATATTTTTACATATATTAAATGCTTCAGGTTGAAAAACAAAGAACAAAAGTAGCAGATACAAAACCGTTAGACTATATCTTTACAAATGCTGGTAGGACTATTTCAGATGAAGAAATTTCATCCCGAGCATACAGGTTTGACTATCCAATTCGTTGGCTTCAAAGTCCTTCAGATGCAAAGGCAATAGGATTTAGAAGAGTTTTGTTTTCAAATAGAACTAACGCATTTATGTTCGCAGTATATTTTCATGGGCAGTATAAAGGTCCTGATTGTCTAATAGACAAATTTGACGAAATGAGAATCTTTACAGTTCGTTCAGACGAAAGTCTTGAGAAAACTCTAGATGACTTTCAAACTCAAATGAACAAATATTATTGGGAATTTCAAGAAAAATACGACTCTTTACTAAATGGAACATACTATCTGAAACTAGAATATGACAAGATGAACTCCACCGTTTCATTTCAAAAGATTGAAATTAACCCTCCAAGAGATACAGAGTTTTTATTTTGGGAAGTAGACAAACGTTCTTGGGCACAATTTCTTCGGTTACTAAACCAGAACGAACCATTACCACCAGATGGTCCATTTAAATTTATACTTCCACCAGCAGATTTGATGGTTTATAGAAACGTGTTTGACCCTCAAAATGTTATGTGTCATGCAAGTTTCAGTTCAAGCAACAATAGTTTTCTATGTATTGGTAAGGACCTTTATGACTTTGCTTCTAAATTCTACGAACCACCTAGTAACAGTTTCTCTGACTTTCAAGTTTGGTTCACAACAAATGGTGTGCAACATATTATTCCATTGTACTATGACTTTTATCTCGAATTGTCTTTCATATATAACTACGGAAAAGTGCTGAAAAAGTATTGAATGTGAAGATATTAGAAAATAACATTTTTTCTAACATCGTAGAAAACTCATGAAAACAATTTATTTTTGACACTTTCACAAAAAACATTAAAAAAGTGAGTTAAAATGAGATGTTTACTGAACTGGTTGGATGTCGCCTTCTGAGGTTATGTAGAACGGCTGACCCGAGAAGTGGAACAGTGCTCTGAGAATTTGTATAATTCGTGGAATTGGACTCCCTCTGTTTGGAAGTTGTATCCATGGGCGCTTTGCAAAGAACTTGAGAAGAGCTTCTTTCTTTGCTTGCTTTATGTCGTCGAAAGGAGTGCCTTCTGGTACCTCATTTGGAATTCCAGTCGAAATCTCGAGAGTCAAGGCAGCCCTTCCCGTTATCCAACCGTTAACAAGCTTGCCTTTTACATTCTGCCTGAGGAAGTCTTTAACAAGCTCGTTAAGTTCAATGAGGTAAATTGCCTCGTCAAGTCTTTCTTGCATTCCAAGTTCTTCCATCCGACAGGAAAATATTTTCCCGACAAAGGGAAAAATTTTTCCCGACAACAGGAAGAACTCTTCTATCCGACAGGAAAATATTTTCCCGACAAAGGGAAAAATTTTTCCTTCCGACAGGAAGAACTCTTCCAGTTGTCCGTCCGTAAACCATTCAAATTTTCGAAAATTGAGAACTTTTTGGTCGAACTTCAGAAAATGTTTTTCCTTCCGACAGAAAAAGTTCTTCCTTCCGACAGGAAAAATTTTTCCTTCCGACAGGACACAAATGGATGACTGACGTTCCTCTTCCTGAATGCCTTCCAATGCCAGAAGAACCGAAAGCTGCAGAACCACAACAGTCTCCTCAGCAACCTCAGTTCCAGCAAGTACCTCCGAATTACTACCAATTTCCACCTCAAGGTTACTACCCACCACAAGGCTTCCCGAACTACCCTCCTCAGCCTATGCCTTACTTCCCCAACCCTTGGTTGTTCCAGCAAGCTCCACCCCAGCAATTCCAATTCCAATCTCAATCGAAGAGAGACCAAGACTTCGAAGAAGGTCTGAACCGCTTACGCAAAGAGTATGCTACAGCTCCAATTGAGAGAAAGTTGTTCCCGGACCAAAAAATAATGTTTAGGGTAGATGGTTAGATCTAACCCGATATCTACCCTCATTTCTACCCTCATGAATTTCCTTAAGACAGAAAAAATAAAGTTAGTTTTATTTTTATTTATTTTTTTATTTTGTATGTAAGAACAGTAATGTCAGTCGAAGCAAAAACGTTCACGAACAAATCTAATGGCGAAACATTCACAAAAGGCACTTATAACGGTATTGAAGTCTTACGTAGAGACAAGGATGGTTACATTAATGCAACAAATATGTGTCAGCAGTTTAGGAAAGACTTTAGAAAGTTGTTGGAAAATAAGTCCTGGGAAGAGTATTATAAGGCATTTTGTGAAGAATATAGCAACCGCCGGAATTCGGACTGTTGCTTTTTATACAAAATTCATGCAGGAAATTCTTGAGTTTTGGTTGAAAGAATACGGTGGAGCCAAAAGTGGCTCGACCTCAAAACAAGCATTTTATGAGCTTACAAAGGGTGTTATGAATGAATTCAAAGGTATTTACATACATCCTGACCTCGTTCATTTTGTTGCTGAATTCAGCAAAAATAATGTTTAGGGTAGATGGTTAGATCTAACCTCATTTCTAACCCGATTTCTACCCTCTTGAATTTTCATGAATTTTCCCGAAATAAAAAATAAAACTAACTTCATTTTTATTTATTTTTTTATTTTGTATAAAAGATATGATTTCAACAATCGGCACAACAACAATTCAAACAACAACTTCACCAAATTCATTAGTCATGAATCCAACATCTATGTTAGTAGAGATGAAAAACTTCATTCCTTCTTCATTTACTTTCGAAACAGAAATACAAAAAATTAAGCAGGAACTTTTAACAAGTAATTTAGACTGTACCGCACAGGATGAAGAAAATGAAGAATATCTTTATGACATGCAGGACATTATTGACCATTTACCCAAATTGCCTGAAATCCAACAACAAAAGCTCACTATTCCTGAATTCGATGAAATTGAAGTGAAACCAACTGACTCAGTAGAAATAAAGAAGTTCATACGTAAAGTAAATTATGAGTTTCTAGGATATCATTGCAACCATAAAGTTATGGACAAAGATTGCGACATGGTATATAAGAACATCTCTGACATATATAAATCTGGGGAGTTTAAGACATACGACAACTTTGTTTCATTAGTTGCAAAATGTGTATGGCAGATAAGAGATAAAGACAGAAGAGGTAAGGTATGGAATGAACAGATAAAACCAGCAGCCTTTGAGTTAAAGAAAACCATTGACGCCTTGGTTGTTCTAGCTGGTTTTATTTCAATGTATAACGCAAAAATGAATCCGCAATGTTCAAAATGTAAAGCAGCAATGAGGAAATATAACTACTCCGTCAAAGAGATAGAACGTATGAGAAACGACTATGCAGACTTAAAGAAAGAAGCAGAGAAGCCGGTAGAAAATAAAATTGACATGCTGTCATTTCTGAACAAAAACTATCCAACTGCTGACGATTTCCTTCTATCTGACGTCAAGAAGAAGTATAAAGAAACCTTCGGCATTGTTAAAATTTTTGATATCCTCAGTGAAGAAATAGAAGCTACAAAACTGTTTAGAATCTCACGAATTCATAACGTTTACCATGTAAAACGTTTATAAATAATGAGGGTAGAAAAGAGGTTAGATATCGGGTTAGATCTAACCTTCTACCCTAAAATATATTTTTATTGAATTCAGCACAAAATTCTGAGTAAAATAATTTTAGGGCACGTGTCAAACCGTTGAGTTTTCACAAAATTCCAAAAATAACGTTTACCATGTAAAACGTTTATAAAATAACTGGGGTAGAAATGAGGTTAGAAATCGGGTTAGATCTAACCTTCTACCCTAAAATATATTTTTGGTGTAAATTCATGAGGGTAGAAATCGGGTTAGATATACCCATCTACCCTAAAAATATATTTTTATTGAATTCAGCACAAAAATAATGAATTTTCAAGCTTGACCATTTACACAATTTGAACTTTGTTTGCGTAGATATGAATTCTGAAAGAAGTATGAGGGTCTTGTATGACTTTGTACTTCTCCCATAGTTCATGTCTGTCAAACTTAACTGCCATGGACTCTTTCATAAGTTCCATGAAATCGTCTTCGGACAATCCGGGGAAAAGTATTATGTCAGTGAGTATTCTTTTAACATCCTTACTTAAACTCTTTGCTGTCTGTACACAAATGACAACTGAAATGTTAAAGTGCCTAAGTTTCTTAAGAATTCGACACATATCTTGTTCTCTGTTCTTTAACAAAGGATGAGAGGCGAAATCATCTAAGATAAGAAGACATCTATGAGGGTAAGTCTTCCAATCGTAAGATTGCAATTTCTTCGAAATGTATTCTATCTCTTTCTGTTTGTTTCTGAAGTGTTTCTTCTCTAATATTCTCTGCATTTCCTCATTAGGATCTTTGAACTTAGAATTTATATACTCATTTATAGCATTATACTTTAAAACTCTTCTTTGGTACTTCTTTATCCAATTTAACAACTCAGTATCCTTTATACATACTAACTTAGACTTCTTTATAATATCTTTGAACGAATTGACGGTTTGGTCAAATTGACCAGAAGTCGAACAAATAACAACTAACTCATAGAATGGGTTCTTCTCATCTAGTTCTTGTTGTTGTGCAGCCATTTTAAGATAAGTGAAAGTCTTACCAGACCCAGGTGGTGCAATTAGACCTGTTATACCATTCTGAGCAAATAAGAACTTGTCATGTATAGGCTTTATCTGAGCATTTTCTAACTTCCTCTTGTTCTTGTTTAAAACATTCTCAAATTTTTTGTCAATGTCAGCAAACTTTTTTTCTAACATATTTTTAGAAAAATTAAAATTTTTATCTTTTAGAAAATGTCTAGCGATTTCGCTATCTATATTCGAGACAAACTTTTTGACAGCAAAACATCTGTCGACCATAAAATCTTACATAGTGTAAACAAGAAAGGTGAATTTGTTCTAAAGTTCTGTTTCTGGGAATATGACAAGAACCATAAAACATTACAAAGAGCAGTCTTAAAATTTGTCAATGACAGACTTGTTGACAGAAATGACGCCGATTGGAAAGATGAAGTCCAACAAAAGTTCTTAGAATGCAAAGAAGACACATGCGCTGTTCTTGAAGATGAAATAGAAAACAGAATAGATGAGCTATTAAAGGACAAAGAACTTTTACATAGATATGGTTCTGAGAAATTTGACATATCTCCACCAGAGAAGAAGAAGAAAGAAAGAAAGAGAAAAAAGTAGAAGAGAAGAAAGAACCTGAACCAGTTCCAGAGAAAAAGAAATTTGACATGTAAAAATAAAATTTTATTTTTAGAACATTTCTGGGTCAATGTCAATGTTCTCTTCCTCTTTAGGAGTAAACACTGGCTTAGACTCTAATAGCTTTTTACCCAATTTACCTTGAACTTCTACAACTTTAGACTCATAATATTCATAGTCGTCTGTCTTCTTTGGTTCATAAGGTATAACAAGTTTGTATGCTTTGCCTTCTTTAAGGTTTGAGAACCTTCTGTCAAAACTTTCTTTGACTGTTAACAAACCTTCTATGTCTAAGTCTTCAAATTTCGCACCATTTTTAGTCACAATAGCAAACTTAACTGGTTCGATGTTCCAAACTTTGCTGAATGAAGACTTTTTCAAAATGGTAGAAGTAAACATTCAAATATGTGAATGGGTCTAGTTCTTCTTTAAGTCCTGACATGTACTTATTTACTGAGATGAATTTTGCCATCTTTTCTATCGGATAAAAAAATATTTTTTTTTAAAATTTACTCAGAAAAAATTTTCATTGTATATACACCATTCTGAACATCTAAAAGACTTTTGACATTTGCCAAGAATGTACGTTTAGAAGCTGCCATATAACCATATTCTTGACAATATTGTTTATATTCATCATATAAAGACTTTTCATCTAAACACTCAAAGTCGCTTTCTTCTATGAACAGTTCATATACACTCTTGTTTGCTTCTAACAATGTTTGTCTCTCTTCGGTATGTGGAATTTGTCTTGGATTGAACTTAGAAATATCTAATGTCATGAAATATGAGAACAAGTGGTTGTAAAAGTCAGATGTCAAAGTTTCTGCTAAGTCGTCAAAATATTCTGTATCTTGCATATGAGCTTCTGACGTTCTGACAACTACATATCTTCTGTCAGAACTTTCTAACTTCATCGGAACAGCATTGTTTGAAACCATAATGAAGTTTGCAACATTTTCACAAACTCGTTGGTCTTTATACTTTCTTTCACCAACTCCAACTTTGTCTGTTATAAGACTCTTCAAAGCATCTGAGTTCAAAACTTTTGTTGTATCAATACTTTGAAGTTCATTGCAAACTATAAGTTTCATATTCTCTATTGAGGAGTTAAACTTGCCACAGATGTTTTCTAAGTTGTCATATTAGGGTTCGAATAACCTTCTAACAGTTTGCATAAGATATCTGTAAAGAATGTGTTCTTACCTGTTCCTTGTTTTCCAATTATAATGAGAGCAGTTTCATTTTTAGCACTTGGATGTTGTAAGATGTTTGCAAACCAACATAAGATATACTCATAGACTCTTTCGTTTCCATTGCATATAATTTCTTTGACATGGTCTAACCAAGCTTCTATAATATTTTCTTTCCATTCTACTTGTTCATATTTATATCCAGTGAAGATAGAATAGAAGTTTGGAGAAGGTGTATAAAACTTTATACCACGAACTGAAAAATCTTCTAACTTTGACAATAAGATATCCCAAGCATCTAACATCTTCATTCCAACTTGTACAACTTTTATTTTCTTAAGTTTCTGTCTACATTCTTGTTCAGACACTATTGTTGCTCTTGGTTTGTTAAAGACAACATCCCATTCTTTCATGAGTTAGTATACAAGTCATGGGTACGGAGGCACTGCGTTCCACCTTACCCAATACTTGTGAATTTGACACTTTACAAAGCCGTCAACCACTTCACTAACGAGCTCACTAATGTAAAAAATAAACGTTCTCACTATCGCTCTCACTAACGACTTCACTAATGTTCTCATAAATTTTCCTCAATATCTTCATCATCAGTGTTAACCCTATTGTAGTCATACTTGAAGCCATAAACTTTCTCTAACTTCTTAACGTACAATTTACATAACTTACCTTCGTCATCGTATGGTTTAATGATATAACTATTTCTATCTTTATACACAGTCAATGAAAAGTCAACTGGTCTCGGATGTATTTGAAAGAACATGTTATGCTCAGGAAGGAAGAATAAATGTTTAAATGTATGTTTGTTATACTGTGGAATTCGAATGAGTTGCTTTTGTTCTGTCATTTATATAAAAAAATAAAATAAAAAATAAACTTAAAAATTAATGATATCACCACCCTCACACGTATGAAAACATAGCACAAAAATAAATTTAGGTGAAGTGGTGAGATCTCACCTCTTTTTTCACCTGTTTTTTCACCCTGTTGAATTCATTGCTTTATAACTCTCTTCCTTTCTCCAACTCTTCTAACTTCTTCTAAGTTCAGCAATGTTGTCCTCATGAAGTTTAATCTTTCTCAAAATTCCTTCTTTATCTAATGGTTGCTTTATCTTTCTAAACTGAACTCTACCATCCTTCATAGTATGAATGTAAAAACCTTCTGGAATAGTTCCTGATTTAATGTATTCTACCAAAAACTTTTGTTTCATTGCTTCAGTGACTTTAGTCGTCATTTTACTCTAAGGTGAAGCTAGCACAGCGATAATGGATTTCATGACTTTTTAGTATTTCATGCAATCTTAACAGATAGCCTTACAAGTACTTCCAGTGTCCCTAGCTGTCCCTCCTTTTTATATAACTCCATGACATTTATAATCTCGCGAAACTTAACAGGTAGCATAACAGATTAAAATCAGATGAGGTTTTGAACCAAAATTTCTAAGCAACGTTGTCAAGGATTTTGAGGAACTAGGGACAGAGTGTGGCAAAGTCCAAGATTTAATTTATCTTCATCTGTTTCATCAGCTATCTCATCTAATATGCCAATATTTTATTCATAACTCGTGGCAAACTCACTAACTTTCATTATGTTCATCTGCATGCTTCATCTGATAGAAAGTATGACTTTCATTAACTCTGTGAGATAATGAAAACTACTAGGGACAGAGACCATGGCAAAGTTTATGACTTTCATTATTTCCAGAACTTAATGAAAACTACTAGGGACAGAGACCATGGCAAAGTTCATGATTTAATTTATTCTCTCACTAACAACAACCACAAACTCCAACACTAACGACAAGTACTAACCTCAACACAAATGACAAACACTAACAACAAACACAAACTCCAACACTAACGACAAAAATAAATGTCCTCACTTCTTAACAAAGTAATATGTGCTTCTTACACCACCATAGCTCAAACGTTTCTTTTCAAACATTGATTGAAACTTATTTTGAGCCATTGGTTTTAGTCTCTTTTTCTTCAAATACGCCAAGAAATCTTCTTCACATCTTTTCACTTCATAGCCTTCTTAAACTCCTCCTTGTTAAGTTCTATGAAATCCTTTATAACATTCTTTGTTGCAATGGCTTCTTCACGAACGACATCGTGAACTATTTCATCACTGTTCTCATGTATGACCTCCTCACTGTTCTCGTGAACTATTTCATCACTGTTCTCATGTATGACCTCCTCACTGTTCTCGTGAACTATTTCATCACTGTTCTCATGAACGACCTCCTTACTGTTCTCATGAACTATTTCATCACTGTTCTCATGTATGACCTCCTCACTGTTCTCATGAACTATTTCATCACTGTTCTCATGAACGACCTCCTTACTGTCTTTCATAAGCGTTTCAAAGTCTCCTTTACTCATTACTTCAATCTCATGCTGTTCACAATAGTACTTAAACTCACTGTATATGTCTTTGTTGTATGTTATATTGCTTCCCATGTACTCCATGAATTTTTCAAGCACTTCCTCATAATTCACTGTTTCTTTCTTTCCACGACCTTCTAATATCATACTTGCTTCGTAAATATAACTTCTTGCAGAACCGTCTCGCTTTCTACTTCTCTTCACAAATTCTCTCATCTTGCCACCAAATACATTTGAACTACATGCAAAGAATTCATTCTCCTTCGCAAATTCTTTATATCTTCTGTAGCACTCTGTACAATTCCATCCGGATACAAACTTTTCATAGAACTCCTCGTAAAACATTTGGTAAGGTGTTTTGTTCATTTCGATGAGTTCTTGTTTAGCCCTGGTGAATGGTATCTTCCTTACATCAAATTCACTTAAATCTTTCTTCATGAAGTACGTCAGTAAGTTTGAATAAAACTCTTCATTAAAGCTTTCAATGAGATTTGAGAAATATTCGTAATTTCCTTTGTATCTGCTGCTTACGTCAATGACAACAAATCTTCTGTCGTCTTTGTCAATCTTTACTGAGTTGAAGTTGTTAGATATCATGATGATATTACAAACATTCTCTATCTTTCTTACTGGCTGACACTTCTGATTTAAGTCCAACTGAGTCTCTGTTACTATTGACTTTAGTGCGTCGTGGTTCATGACCTTAGACGTATCGCATGAGCTTAGTTCATTGCATACGATGAGCTTCATGTTCTCAATAGCAGCATTGAATCTACCAACCACATTCTCTATTGCCGTTATATTATTGTTGGCGTACTTGCTAATGAGCTCGCATAGAACATTACTAAGTACATTCTTACCAGTTCCTTGCTTTCCTATTAACAAAAGTACTGTTCCAGTCTTTCCACAAGGATTTTGAACGATGTAGGCGAACCAGTTCAAAACATACTCATAAAGCTCTTCATCCTCATTACATATGACATCGTGAACATGTTTCAAATATCCTTCAATAACGCTTTCATCTACTTCATTCAGTACCTCATACTCATATCCTCTGAAATAGCTGTAAATGTCATCTCTTTCGTCAAAGAATCTCATGCCTGACTTCATAAGATAGTTCTTGTTCTGACCCGCTTCATAAATCATCAGTGCGTTCACATCCTTCTCCTCAATACGTCCTACATAAACACTCTTCATGAGCTTATTGAATTCCTTGCTATCTACTGACACAAGTGTTGTTGTGTCTCGTATTCCATCATAATCTTTCACTAGATATGTCATACGTGCTCCGTCAATAACGACAACACATCTTCTTAAGTCATTTATAACACTAGCTATGTCAATACCTTCTTCACTCATGTACTTATTTCTTCTCTCAAGTCCTTTAGTGTGAAAGTGTCTCTAAGTTCTATTTCAAGCAATTCATTTACATGTCCTTTGCAATACTTCTCTATAAAATATTTCTGTCGTTCTTTACTAAGTTTCTTAACAGCTCTGAAGAACCATGTGTTTTGACTCAAACATCCTTCACAACTTCTCTCATTCATTCCTAGTTCTTTCATGTCATTATCTTCAACCTCTATGGTCTCATTGACTAAGGTCAAAGGGTTCTTAGTCATTGCTGGTCTTATCTGAAACAATGTTTGTGCAACAGGTTTAACTAGTTCAGCAACGTCCTTCCTTAATATGAATAGCTGTTTCCACTCATCTTTGCTAACAGTTCTTTCATAACCACTGACAGTAATGATTTCATTTGCTGACCTTAGACACTTATGTTCTATCA